TTGCCTGTCCTAGAACTCACCCTGTGGACCAGGCTGGCCTTGAACTCAGAGACTGGCCTGCCCTCTGCTTCCTGCTGGGACTCAAGGCATGAGCTACCAATGACCTACTCCCCCAACCCAAGTTTTACAAAAACAGCTTTCCAAACACCATTCTGCCCATCCTTTTTCTAAGCTAAGGCTGCTGAATATGGTAGGTCATTCCCAACTGTGGTCACACACCCCACAACCTTTTTTTTTTTTTTTTTTTTTTTTTTTTTTTTTTTTTGTGGGAATCGGGGGTTGTTGAGACAGGCTTTCTCTGTGTATCCCTGGCTATTCTGGAACTCACTCTGTAAACCAGACTGGCCTTGAACTCAGAGATCAGCCAGCCTTTGCCTTCCTACTGCTGGGGTAAAGGTGTAGTGGACCATACTATGGCTCCATTCAGTGTGGATAGGATTCTATGCCCAAACCCTAATGAACAATTATAGGTGTATCTACTGGAATAACAGTGGGCACATGGTAGTGTACACAGGCAGGACAAATAGGAGGCAATACAGAGTCTGGCTGCAGGCATTGGCTGTTTTTGGAGGGTTGAGAGGCTCCCTGAGACATCCCTAATCTGGGCCTTGAGAGATCAAGCTTCTTGATCTTTGATTTGTTTGGCAAAAGGATAAAAATGGCCTCACTACTTAACACAAAAGTAGGGCTTTGTTCTTCTACTTTGCATAATACTTTAGGAATTCTGTAGCACCTTTATCATTTTTGTTTTTCGAGACAGGGTTTCTGTGTGTAGGCTTGGCTGTCCTGGAACTCCCTCTGTAGACCAGGCTGACCTCGAATTTAGAGAGATTGGCCTGCCTTTGCCTCCCAAAGGTATGTGCCACCACTGCCCAGTTTGTATATATTCCTTAATGCAGTTTTACTTGCTTTATTGGATGCCTGCTTAGAAAAGCCTTCTCTTCCTCATGACTGTTTTCTTAAGTTTTCTTGTAGAGCTTTTAGTTTGCAACTATATCTGCAATATGTTTGGAATATATTCCCTTGGTACCCAGAGCAGTTCATCCAACACTGATATGAAACTGAATTATTCAGTTCTCAGCTGAAAAGAGCATCTTTCCTCTTCCATTTAGTCATTTACACCTTTGCCGCAGAGTGTGGTTTCGGTGTTTGGGGGGTCTTCGGCCAGCTGGAGGTTCTGTTCCTCAAGGCAAGGTCAGCGCTTGGCCTCTCTGTTTCGTCCCCATGTCTTAGAGTGACACGTAACTCTTCTGCGCCGCCCCCCCCTCCCCGCCGGGCGTTCGACCGTTTTCCCACACCTCCAATGCCTTGTAAGAGGGCAGTCCCGTGCCTCTCTCATGTCCCGCAAGACCCCTCTGCCCTTAATCCACCCGGGTTCCGTGTGAGCCCTCTGCTCCGCATTCCATCTTGTGTCCTGCGTGACCCCTTTGCCCCGCGTGACCTTTGCCTAGTATCCTACCTCACCCGGTGCCTCCCACGTGACGTCTGCCCTCTGTACCCCAAAGCATTCCACAGGGTTCTCCATCCTAGGCTTCCCGTCCCCTCAAGCTGCGTAATCGGCCATGAATCCGTGTCCCCTCCAA